TGTTTTACTTAGTGTTTCTGGTCTTTGCTGTGGAGGGAAGGTGTGGTGCTTCTGTCTCTAGTGCCAAGTTGGCTCCATCTCCCCACCACTTAATTATTTTTAAAAAAATATTTAATACAATCTCTGATCATTCAAAAGTTACCAAATATACTGCAAAGTAAGATAAAATTGCCAGAACAAAACATAAACTTAACAATATCAATGAAAATACTAACAAAGACTTATTTAATGAAATGCATGCTGCCTCTTATGCTAATATACTTTATAACAATCATTGAAATTTAATCAAGAGGTCATTTCTGGATTTCTTATTTTAATAATAGACTAAAGGAGAAATTATTATCTTATTGTCTATTTCAATGAATGAAAACAAAAATCCTTTGATAAAATCCTCATTCATTAAGATTAAAAAAAAAAAGCTCATAAACTTCCAGAAAACTAGATCGAGAAGGCTTAATACACATGATAAAGCATATTTACATTAAATATATGGGTAGGCAGGTAAGCAGATAGGTAGGTAGTAGTAGGTAGATAAAAATTTTAAAGCAAACATCTAATTTGGTATTGTCAGAATCATAGCAAGTCAAAATGATCCATTATTACCTAGATTCTACATTTATACTGGAGTTCCTTGCAAGTGTGCTAACACGGTGAAAATAATTGAAAAGTATAAAGTCTAGAATGGAAAGAGAAAATTAAGAAAAACTTCACATTACTTACACGTTATGCGGATCTACATTGAAAACGTAAAGGAACTTTAAAAAACATAACAAAACAAAACACAGCTATCTAGTCGATTCTGACACATAGCAACCTTATAGGACGGAGTAGAGCTGCCCCATAGGGCTTCCAAGGAGTGGCTGTTGGATTCGAACCGCTGACCTTTTGATTAGCAACCCCACACTTAAACACTGCGCCACTAGGGCCCCAAAGGAATTTATAGGTAAATGATTTTAACTAATAGGAGAGTTTAGAAAGGTTTCTAAATTCAAATCAATAATAAAAAAGTATTAATGTTCCTATATACTAGCTTAAAACAATTTGGAACTTCAATAAAATCAATAATATTTTTAAAACCCACATAATATTAATTTTTTAAGAAGAAAACTAAAATCACTGTGAGAATAAAATTACAAACTCATTTCTAAAGATAATAAATATGTGGCAAATAAAGACAATGATATACCAGGGAATGAAATATTCAATATTGAGAAAATGCCAGTTATTTCCTAATTTACGTAGAGATTTAATACAATTCCAAAATTTGTTCGAGATTGTGTGTGTGTGTGTGTGTTTCTGAGTATGAGTATGTCTATGTAAAGTTTGACAAGCTGCATCTAATGTTTTCATGCTATGAGTGACAATACATCTCCAAAAAGAGCAAGAAAGTAGGATGGACTTTACCATGTGTCAAGAGTTGTTACAAAGCTAAAGTACATAAAACATTGTGGCATTAGCACAGAAATACGCACTCACACAACAGAATTGGGAACCCAGAAAAAGAACACACAAATATTGAAACTTGTTTTATATAGGGTCAACATTGCAGATCAATGGATGAAAAGAAAATTTTTCAATAAATGGGGCTGGGTATTGCTTATCTAGATGGATGAAAACTAAATAAATATTAGACTTCTATCTTGAACCATGGAGTCCTGGTGGTGCAGTGGTTAAGAGATCAGGCAACTATCCAAAAGTCTGGCAGTTCGAATCCACCAGCTGCTCCTTGAAAACCCTGTGGGGCAGTTCTACTCTGTCCTATATGTTTGCTATGAGTCAAAATCAACTCGACGGCAATGGGTTTGTTTTTTTTTTTTTTTTTTTTTTCTGCTTTATCTTGAACCACACAAAAATGAAGGCCAGGGCTGTTTAAGACCTAAATGTAAAGGGTAAAACTGTCAAACTTTTCAAAGGAAATATAAAACATCAGTATGACCTATACTTAAAAAGAAATGGTTGGTGAACTACATTCAAATAAAAACTTGTACTCATTAAATGGTATATAAAAATTAAAAAAAAAAATCTACTCAATGTGAGATAAGATATTTTCACCATATATAGCTACCAAGAATATTATCCAAAATAAATTAAGAACACCCTCTGGATAAATAAGGAAGATTTTAAAAAATTCAAAAGTTGGCAATAGAAATGAGTAGGAATTTTATCAAAAAGGAAGCATAAACAGCCCAAAAGCATAAAAAAAGAGATTGACCTCATTAGAAATTAGTAAAATATAATTTAAGTGATGATGAAAGATTATTTCATACCTACCAAATTAGGAAAAACTAAAAAGTTGAACACTATCAAGTGTTGCTAAGGATGTAGAGAAATGGAAAACCCATCCATCGTTGATAGGAGTGAAATCTGCATATCAGCTCTGGAGAAGTTCATCAAGGCCCAATAAAGTTCAATTGTGCGTTCCCCAGACATACAAATTCTATTATTAAGTACATACCATAAGAGAATCATGTCTCTACTCCGGAAACATGTGCAAGAATATTTATAGCAGCATTATGCATAATAACTAAATCCTGGAAACTACCCAAATGTCCATAAAGAGGAAAATGTTGTAGAAAATTATACAGCAGTAAAAAGGAATACATTGGACGCATATCCACTGATGTGGATAAAGCTCAAAAATAACTTTGAGTGAAAGAAGAAAGTCATACACTATGATTACATGTTTAAATACAACTCAATCACAGGCAAATTTTTGTTTGTTTAGGGGCAAATATATAGATATAAAAACTATGAAGAAAAGTGAGGAAATAAATACAAAATTCAGGAAATGTCCAAGTAATGGGCCAATTACTTTAGGTATGTAATCTTTAATGCTTAGAACCATTCTCCAAAGTAGACTGTCAGGAAAATTAATTGATTTGCCACTTACACAGCTCATGTATAAAAGACCTAGGGTTTGAACCCAGGTCTGTTTTTCTGATATGTGCCCTTATCACTACTCATATCACCCAAATCTTATTGATGTCATAAAGTGGGTGCAATGGAGCATGATAAGATCTGCCTTTTAATTCAGCTACACAAAATATTAGCTGTTTGACCTTGTATACAACTCAATAAATTTTTAGGGCCTCAATTTATGTTTTGTTTTTTTACAAATTAGGGATAATAATACCTCTCTGTTAGGGTCATGGAAACCCTGGTGATGTAGTGGTTAAGTGCTATGGCTGCTAACCAAAAGGTCAGCAGTTCGAATCCACCAGGTGCTCCTTGGAAACTCTATGGGGGCAGTTCTCCTCTGTCCTATAGGGTCACTATGAGTCGGAATCAACTCGAAGGCAATGGGTTTGGTTTGGGTTTGGGTTTTAGGGTCATTATGAGGTTTAAATGAAATATGCATGTATAGCACAGATCATAAAGCAGCTGTTCAATAAATTTTATTTTAACTTGTGGTAGCTTCAGTTGCTAAGACTATGTGAACATCTCCAAAAAATGTCAGCATCCTGAAATCAGAAACAGGAACAGATAGATGGTTGGATTATGACATGGTTGATCAAGCTGACAGAGGAAAGATATAAGAGGGAAGGGAAGATACTGGGAAGGAACTCACTGTAGAGACCGTTCCTGAGGTCCTGGCCCAAGTGGAAGGTTGAGGAAACTGGGAGAGATTGCTTCTCTGGGGAGTAGGGAATATCCTTGGGTCAAGAAGCTTTAATGAAATGGGGGTGGGAGGCGGAGGTTCGCTTTTATTTGCAGAAAGGGAATGAAAGAAGGAAATGGCTGAAGACTGTAAGTAGAGCAACCATACCTGACAAAGCTAAGAATATTTCACAACCCTGAACAATTTTATTACAGCTTAAACACCCTCTGCACAGTTATCCTGAGGGGATGTGTTTTGAGGAAGGCTGAGAGGTGATACAGTACGTGAGTGCGGGCCCGTACGTAGTTTCACTGCTGATTTGACCGGGGATTCAGTGTGTCAGGGCTGCTCGCATGTCTTCACCCAAGAGATAGCTTCTCTACTTCTGTGACATCCTCACTATGAAAAAACAGAGCTCCTTTGGCCAGATAATAGAACATGAACTTTCTATCATATGTTACTCAGGTTTATCGGATTTTTACTTACAGAATCCTCTGAATCCCTATTTCCACCAGCCTAATTTTTCAGTCCAGTTAAGAAGGATTTACTCTTTCTTGTTACTTTTTCCAAGAAGTAAAATATTTCCCCTAATCTTGCCAAGACTAGAATTCTCCTACACATGTATAAACCTCCCTGGTTTTATTTAATTGCCTTTCTATACGTCCAAGTGTGCGAACCTTGGTCCCCAGCTCTTGAGATCCACCAACTTCTTGTACCCGTTGCCCAAGTCTAGGAGGTAACTGTTAGATACCTCGTATTACCAGTTATGTTGAAAGACTTGTCAATTAAACACACCTAAGCCCAAATGGGGGAAGCCCTGGTGGCGTAGTGGTTAAGAGCTAAGGCTACTAACCAAAAGGTCAGCAGTTTGATCCACCAGGCGCTCCTGGGAAACCATATGGGTAGTTCTACTCCGTCCAGAGGGTCGTTATGAGTCAGAATCGACTTGACAGCAGTGGGTTTGGTTGGTTTTTTTAAGCCCTAATTGGAGCCCTAGTGGCACAGTGGTTAAGAGCTACATCTGCTAACCAAAAGGTTGGCAGTCTGAATCCACTAGCTGCATGAGTGAGTCTAGCTCGAGATACATGTTGATAGTGCCATCTCTCACTGAAAAATCCCAAGATGACCCCAGAAATTATTGAAGAACAATTTAGAAATAAAAACTATTCTAGATTTTTAAAATTTCAACGACACTTTGGCAGCTAATATTGTAAAGGCTACTCATTATTTGTCTTGTCTTTGAAATGTGAAGTTGTTTTGGTTGTGACCAGTGTTGACCTCCAATATCCCCCAGGAGACATACCTTACTGTGTACAGAAGAAACACTAATTAGAGATCTTTTAAGTAGCAATGAGATACTGAAGAGATAAAGTAGCATTTTGGCTTACACTGAACTTCATACCTGAACGCAAAGCCTCTTTCTGAATGCTTTCATAGTCATGCCAGTCCTTTCTTCTCAAACCATTTGTCCATGCATAGAATTGCCCATCTCCTAGGCCCAGTGGGAATGTCTGCAGAAAAGGAAAGTATTCAGAGCATAAAAAGGAGGTATTTCCTTTTGCATGGTAGGTAAACACAGCCGGGCACATAATAGGCAATCAAAGAATATTTGTTGAATAAGTGATTCTTCTGAGCATACCGAAAAGAAGTCTAGTGCTAGTGACCAGATTAATATACATTTTAAAACCATTTTTTAACTTTAAAATGAGAGTGTGCCTCTCCCACAACACCTACCATTTGCTATTATAGTTCTTCTAGAATATTAACAATTTAGTGTGTTACCTCCTCTAAACATGATTGTCTAGCTGTTCTCAATTGCCCAAAGTGTAAATATTTGTAATTCTACCAATTTTGATGTTAACCTGAATTAATTTTATCTCTGATATTCACTTTCATTCATTTTGATCAAGTATATTTGAATGGCCCGACAGTAATATTAGCAACTATTCATTGAATGCTCACTATGTGCCAGGTACTATGTTAAATATTCTGTGTATAGAAGTTTGTTTCCTCTACATAATAGCCTTTGGCTGGAAATCCCTATTTTACTGTCCATGATACAGAAGCCCAGGAAACTAAAATGCATTGAGTTGAACCACAATGGTAAATCCAGGATTTGTACCAGTTCTGTTGAGACCAAAGTTATGATCCTAACACTATTAAATATTGTCTCCCATCTAGATTTCGGTTATACTGCCGAGTTACACTTACAGTTGAAGTTATCATCCACTCAACAACTGTAGTCACATCATATGTTTTGTGCATTTCCAAAACCCAATATGTTGTAATGCCAACTTGAAACTTATTGCTGTGAACATTGCTGAAGCTGCTTCTGTTTTTTATGATTTTTTTTCTACTGAGAAGAAACAAATATTGCTTTGAAGAAATTTATCCTCACAGTCTTAAAACAATCAAGATAATGTAAAATAAATGTTTTCACATTCACACACTATTTTCCTTTTTGTTGATGTGGCTCATTTTTGGAAATAATACATCTATAGAATGAAGAGAGGAAAATTTTAAAAATAGAAAAAAGAATTTAGACAAAAATAAAAGATGAATATGTTTCAAAAATAAAAGATGAATATTTTTCATGACGTAGTTTTATTCAAGAGCATTTCCAAGGCAAGTTAAATGTCTTATTTTCCACTTCGAGACAATGTAGTCACTGTGCTTATGAAAGTACATCAATTTTCAGTCCATATTTATAGCTTGTTAAAGAGCTACTGTTTTGAAAAGATGAAAATCAGAAATAATATTTAAAAAAAAAACCATAATTTAAATTAGAGGAAAGATGTTCCAAATCAGGTGAATATTGTCTATATAGTTAAAGGAATTTATAGCTCATAAAAGTGATGAGTTCAGGAAAAAAAAAAAAGAGGAACAAACATTCAAGGATCATGGTGAACATATATAAAATATTAAGTATAATAAGGATAAGTTTCAAAAGGAGCGTAACAAGAAACAAATAAATGGAAGAAGAAATAAAATAGAAGGAAAATGGAAGGAACAAGTTTGGGTATATAATAGCAATTATCAGAAAAAAAAAGTCATTCTTTTTTTCTAACTAATATTAATTTCATAATTACAAATTTTCCCAAAACTCAACTATGCATTGAAAGTTATAAATAATCCAGTAATTCTAAAATACACGAGCCATGTTTTTTCTGTCATGTATTTACAATGATGAATACTGAAATGTAATGAAAGTCTACACTGATTTGGATAATATCTATCTATAAATTTCTTTCACAGTAAAGTAGGTAATTTCAGAACAAATTTTGACATGAAACAAATACACAAAGCTGTCTCTGATACCATACACCCTCTTTTTTTTTTTTATTTTGATATATTTAAGGTAGAGAATACTTAGCAACTGGTAATACATGGCAGATTGAACACAAGAGATAATCTTCGCTTCCTCCGGAAACCTGTGAAAATGACTGTAATGCATCAGATGACTCAAGAAAGCAGATGGTTGAATGCACATAAACGTAGAGACTTGGAAAGAAATGAGAACTAAGTACAAGGAGATTTCTGAGGACAATTATCTGAATGAGAGAGCTATGCTTTTGGGCTGCTATAAACAGCTGAATAAAAGAATACTCAACTGTAGTGAAAATCTGGGCTCCGTGTATATACTAAATCTTGACAAGTCAAGCAATCTTCCTGCAGTAGATGCCAAGAAAGCTGCCAGCCTGCCTTACACTCCTAAGGAAAGAGGTTGTGGAACCCCTATTAGCAGAATTGAACTAAAAATAAAGAGATAAGGAACTGGTGCATGGGGGACAGGTCCTCACCCAGGAATGCTACCGGGAATCCCCTCATTAGCAAGCCTTCCTCTACACAAAGAACTTCAGTATTTCACTCATCCTTCAGAATAGGCAGACTTGAGGGAGCTTCTAACATAACATTCAGAAGTCAAAAATAAACAAAAGGCATAACAAACTTGAAGAAAATAGAAATAATGTAAGGAGCAAAAGAAAACTCCCCCAAAAAATAAAAAAAATTAATTTCCTCAAAGAACTATAAGAACAAGTTCCTCCATAAAAAAAGAAAGGAGCATTTAGAGAATAAGGAAGAGCTCTTAAAAAATAAAAAATGCGATTGCAGGAATATAAAAGTTAAAAGATAGTTCAGAAAATGAACTTTCCTCAGGAACAGAAGAAGAAAAAAGACAAACAAAAAAATATACGACTTAGAAGGGAGGTATCAAAATGGCAGCTCTGTGGTAAGCCTGGAGATCACCCCATCCTGACTGTATAAGGAGGATCGAAGCATTTCCAGAAATGATGTCCCTATGAGGAAGACAAAAAAAGTAAACTTACTATCTACCTATTTTATTTTTAACATATTGAAAGAAGAGTTACAATTTTATCAAAGACATAAGGACGACTTAATGATACATAGATAGAAAACCAAGCAAATGAGAAGTGAATCAAGTAATAAGGCTTGTAATAAGGCTAGGTAATGAATAACAAGACTAAAAGAAAAACATTCAATGTACAAGAAATAAAACGTAATTATAGCACACTATTTAATTCAAGTATCAATAATCTTACCTGACTATTGTTTTAACTAGAATTAATGATATAAAAAGATCATAAAAAGAAAAAAATTGAAGTTGTCAAGGATTTCATTTTACTTGGATCCACAATCAACGCCCATGGAAGCAGCAGTCAAGAAATCAAACGATGTATTGCATTGGGTAAATCTGTTCTCAAAGATCTCTTTAAAGTGTTAAAAAGCAAAGCTGTCACTTTGAGGACCAAGGTGAGCCTGACCCAAGCTATGATATTTTCGATTGCCTCATAGGCATGCAAAAGCTGGACAACTAATAATAAGGAAAACTAAAGAAGAATTGATACCTGTGAATTATGGTGTTGGTGAAGAATATTGAATATACCACGGACTACCAGAAAAGCAAACAAATCTGTCTTGGAAGAAGTACAGTCAGAATGCTCTTTAGAAGGGAGGATGGTGAGACTTCGTCTCACAGACTTCGGACATGTTATCAGGAGGGACCAGTTCCTGGAGAAGGACATTATGGTAGGTCACTGAAATAGAGGAAGACCCTCAATAAGATGGATTGACACAGTGGCTGCAACAATGGTCTCATAAGGATGACGCAGGACCGGGCAGTGTTTCTTTCTGTTGTACATAGGGTCACTATGAGTCAGAACTGACTTAACAGCACCTAAAAACAACAGTATATAATACCAAAATAAAATCAGGGTACAGGAGCCATGGTGGCACAGTGGTTAAATGCTCGGCTGCTAACTGAAAAGTTGGCAGTTCGAAACCACCAGTCGCTCCTCGGGAGAAAGATGTGGCAGTCTGTTTCCATAAACATGTATAGGCCTAGAAATCTTATGAGGCAGTTCTATCTTTCTTATAGGGTTGCTATGAGTTGGAATTGACTCAGCAGCAATGGATTTTTTTTTCTTTTTAATAGTAATATACACTTGCTATTTATAAATATGGGTGCATATAAAATGAAGATACAAAAAATTGGCATGGATGCCCTTGGGTATCAGAAGTTACAAGTGGGGAGAAGTGGCCAGTGGATTAGTAGTTATCATGATTACAATTTTAAAATTTTTCACAAGTATTACTTTATGTAAAAAAATAAAGCTCAAATAAAATTCTCATACATTCTTGGTAGTTAGTGCCACAGAAAGATGTGTTAGCATCATGAGAACATTCAATGATGGTAGAGGAATCAGGTTAAAGCAGAGCATCTGAAATTGTGTTTTAACAAAGGCTATCTGAGAATATGCTACAATAAAACGTCTTCCATCTATATCAATGCTACTCACAGACCAGTAGCATCAGCATCACCTGGGAACTTGTTAGAATTAAAAGCCCCAGGTCCTAACTCATCTGTTAAATGAAAAGCTTTGAGTAGGAGAGTAGGGCAAAAATCTGTTTCAACAAATTCTCTAGATGATTCGGAGGCTTGCTAAAGTTTGAGAATCACTAATTGATATGAATAGAAAAGCAACATAATTACCATGTTAAGGAAATAAATCAAGCTTATTAGTGAAGTATGTGCCATAATCCGCTGAAGAATTTTTTTCTCACGGAGAGCTGATGACCAGTATAAAGATTAGGTGTGTTTGCATGTATTTCACCTGCCAGAAAGGTAGGTGAATACAACTAAATCAATCCTGGTACAATTGTATAGAACCACCTTGTCTCTGAAAGTTTAATCACCTAATAAATGATCAATTGAATTCCCTGGGTGGTACAAATGGTTAACTGAAAGTTGGAGCTTGAAGTTCACCCAGAGGCACCTTGGAAGAAAGCCCTGGCGATCTACTTCTGAAAAATCAGCCATTGAAAACCCTATGGAGCACAGGTCTACTGACACACATGTAGCCGCCATGAGTCAGAATCCACTTGTCGAAAACTAGTGTACTGGTATAAATGGTCCATCAGCATCCTGACTTTTCCTTTCACGTGAGCAGCCTCCTTTGCCCAGATCCATTTGCTTTTCTCCTAGGTGATATCACGCGTCCTCCAAATGTTTATAGCAGTACAGACCCATCATCCATGACCTCATAAAGTAAATATCAAGAGTGCTGTACCTTCCGGAGGCATATATTTCAGACTTATCATTAGGTCTGCCACTTATTCATGAGTACCCTTCTGCCTTGTAGACTTTTTACTCATTGTAATGTCACTACAAGGAGCCCTGGTGGCACAGTGCATAAAGTTTTGGCTGCTAACCAAAAGATCATCTGTTCGAACCCTCCAGCCACTCCAAGGGAGAAAGATGGGCAATCTGCCTATGGGAAAGTTCTACTATGTCCTTATAGGATCTCTGGAAGTTGGAATTGACTCGACGGCAATAGGTTTTTTTTTGTTTTGTTTTGTTTTTTTAGTGTTATGTCACTACTAGTAATTAATTTGAAAATATATCAGTGACAGAAAAGACACAATCCATTAAGTAGAAACTACATGTAAGAGTTAACGCTAGAATCTAGAGCCTATTGAAAAACAATATACCTGAGAACAGATCATGAGGAAAAGTTTCCAAAGGTGAAAAAACATTAGCCATAGGCAATGCATTTACCAGAGGTAGAAAACTCATACATCTTCAGGGGTCAAGCAGGTGATATAAATGGATGAAGAAGCAGGCTGTAATACACTAGAAAAAGATGAGCTCCAGAACTACTTGACTACTGTTAGTCACTTGTAGAGAATCTTAAAGCAACAGGGATGCCAGTCTGGAAACCCATGGTGAGTGAAAAAAAAAAACA